AGCGCTGGCAGGAGGGGGAATGGTGGGCACGCAGCTCTAACGGGCGGCTTTATCACCAGCCATCTGCATGGCAGCAGTGCGGCCGAAGGACCGAAGCATATTGGTGGTGTAGCCCAGCTGGAGAAAACCACGGCTCCAGAAAAAAGTCTGGGCATGATGCTGGAGCATTCCGTGCCCGTGCCAACATCCGCAAGCATGTTGCCGGCTCGTGGCTGCGCACTCGGACAGTTCTGATCTCTTTTTTCACGTGTTTCCCTCTCCCCCCCACCCTTTTTTTGTCTCTGCATCCGTAATCGCTATTAATATTGGTAACGGAGTTAACTTGTGTTAACTTGCGTTAGCTCGCTCATGTTTACCCAGCGATGGCAAAGAGAGGAAGGCAAGCTAACGAGTGTCCCACCGCCTGCTAATTAACAGCGCAAGATGGCATCGGGGCTAAGCTGCCACGCAACCTGTAATAAAGGTCACATTAATGACTGGCTGTAACGCAGGGACTGGAAATGAAGCGATGCAATGGTGCTTTATGGGCCGCGCTTTTTGCTTGCGCGAGGGCTCGATGCCCTCTGATGGCACGGGGGCTCACTGCAGCCCCCAAATCCACGGGGTACAGCCAAATCCACGGCATCCTGCCAGCTTCGGGGAGAGGCAGGGTCCCCACGGGGCTCGAGGTGCATCCTGGTGCCTGGACCGCTCCAGTCATCCTTGCAAGAAACACCACAAAATGGCTTCAAATACCCCATCAAATCCGACTTACTAATTCTAGGGAGGTTTTGCCACCGGCGGGACTGTCCCCCTGGTTCTCACCCACTCTTGTCCCCTCTCCGTCTCCAGATCCGGCCCTGACCGCCTGGGTCACCCACACCAAAAACCAGCCAAGTCCGAGAAGTGGCTTCTTTTCTTTCTGACCCAGGACCTGTGAAACCCTTTCGATGGCTTTAATATGGCCGCATGTATCCCCATCCCATGCCTTTGCAGCGATGCTTTAGGGGATTTAGTGTGGCACTGGGGCTGGCGTGCAGCTGGCAGAGAAAAAAGCAAAAAAACCCAAAAACCATCCACATATCATTTTAGCTGCCCTGAATTTAATCCTCGGTGACGCTTGTATTTACCCTAGTAAATCAATGGCTGTTACAGGCTTTTTTTTCCTAGGAAAACTCAGGTACTTTAATTTATTGCATTTAATAGCCCTATCAAAGGCTTTCAGGAGATGAACAGAAAGTGCTGCAGGGTGTATTTCCACAACCACTTACCATTTTAAAAAGGAGAAGAGAAGTTGGGCACTAAAAGGGGATTTTTTTGGGCTGATTTGGGGCTGTGATCAGGGCGGCTGCAATCCCAGCGCCGGGGCAGAGAAACCGGGCCAGAGGCACCTGATCGATATGAGAGAAGATAAAAAAGGCAGCTGAGAAATTGGTTGATAATTATTCCACTTCTGCACAACCCCAACTTGCTGAAGGAAGGGTAATTAAAGCCATGGTCTAATTAATGTGTACCTTGCCCCCCTGGATTATGGTCAGCCTTCAAAGGAAAGCTAATGAGGTGGAGAGAGATGGGTGAGCAGCACATCAGGGCAGCAGCATCCATCGCTGGGGGGGTCTGCAAAGGAGCAGCGTGAGCAAAAATTGGCTCAAATTGAATCAAAAGGAGCTTCTCCAGCCCCTCCTGACCTGCTGGGCCGGCCCAAGTCCCAGCCACACTGGCTGGGCTGGGGTGGGTAAAAAGCCTTCAGGACCCAAATCTTTTGAGAAGAGCCAGCGTCAGGGTGGGGGGAGAAATAAAATTAAGGCTTTCACATTAATTACAGCATCATGGCAATGCCAAAACCTAGCTGGGATTTTGAGATGTTAGTGACCAAGTTCACCTTAGGAGGAAAGGATGAAAAGAAAGAAGGGGAAAAAACACAATAAAAAAAAAAAGGAGGTTTGGGGTTTTTTTTAGGGGATTGCTTTGGACAGGCGGGGTGCAGCCCCAACACTCACCATGGTAGATGTAAATAATTCACTTGCCGCATCAGCCCAGCCTTTTTAGTCCTAAACAGAGGCGAGGAAAAAACAACTCATAACCCAGGGAATTGTGTTGCTTTTGGGTGGCCGCCCAGCTCCACTGCCCTCCGACACTGTCCCGCTGGGGTGCCCCTGGGCAAGTCCTCTAATCTGGCTCACGGCCGACAGCCTCCCTATGCCATGGGGCTCACCCCACGCGGCGTGGGGCCACGCAGCCCCGGGGTGGGGGGGATACAGCAAGTACTTGGGGATGCTGACACCCGCCTGCATCCTTTCCTAGATGGACCGGGGGGAGTTTCAGCAGGACTCGGTGCTGAAGCAGCTTGAGGTGCTCAAGGAGGAGGAAAAGGAGTTTCAAAACCTGAAGGTGAGCCAGACCCCAGGGACATGGCCCCCCTCTGTCCCCAGCCCCATGGGCAGATGTGGCCCAAAGCCCCCCCGGTCACTCCTGTAGGAGGGACTGTGGCATACGGCCAAGGCAGTTGCACCCCAGGGTGCTGGGCACCCATCCCCGTGCGTGCTCCAGGGCAGGACCGGCTTGTCCCTCGCCCAGCATTGCTGCTTCTTTGTGGTCCCAGCACCCTTTTGGGGGATTAAAGAAAAAAAAAAAAAAGCATGTGCCAGGACAGTGGGGTGCAAGGAGCACCCATCCCTCACTCTGATTTGGAGGGGGCCGAGCGGGACGCGTTGGTGGCACGAGAAGATGCTCCAACGCTGCGGGCAGGAGGGCTGAGGTTGTCCTCTTGCATGTCACGGGTGGCACAGGCGGGTGCCCCGAATGCCAGAGCATACGGGAAGGGTGGGCACCACCAACCTACCCCCCTCCGCCTTCTCAACCCCCCCAGGACCCCACCAATGGCTACTACAGCGTGAACACCTTTAAGGAGCACCACTCCACCCCCACCATCTCGCTGTCGGGCTGCCCTGCGGACCTGCGCCCAGCCAGCAAGCAACGGGTGCCCACCGGCATGTCCTTCACCAACATCTACAGCACCTTGAGCGGGCAGAGCCGCCTCTACGACTACAGCCAGCGCTTCGTGCTGGGCATGGGCAGCAGCTCCATCGAGCTGTGCGAGCGCGAGTTCCAGCGCGGCTCCATGAGCGACAGCAGCTCCTTCCTCGACACCCAGTGCGACAGCAGCATCAGCAGCAGCGGCAAGCAGGACGGCTACGTGCAGTTCGACAAGGCCAGCAAGGCCTCCGCCTCCTCCTCCCATCATTCCCAATCTTCTTCCCAAAACTCGGACCCCAGCCGGCCCCTGCAGAGGCGGATGCAGACACACGTTTGAGCCCCTCCGGGGACACTCGGGACCCTCCACGCGGGCGCCGTGGCTTCACACTAGGACAATCGCACCCGCCGGGAGCGGCAGTGGGAAGAGGCCGGATCCAGCCCCCCCACCCAAAGCGGGGCTGCGGGCTGGGGGACCAGCCAAGCATCATTCCCCCCCCCCACCTCTCTCCCCGGTACATGCTAAGTACAACCCCGCCGAGGATGTGCCGAGCCCCAGGGAGCCGTCCCCTCCACAGGGCTGGGGACACCCCCGGCCCGACCACGCACACCCCCCCCGCGCCTCCCCAGCTGCTCGCCTCTGCTTCCCGCTGCTCTCTCCCATCCGGCTCCTTCCCTTCCTTCTTGGTGTTCGGTGTCCATACTTATAGAGTCCGTTGCAGGGGG